TTGGGGCCGGGCTGGCGAAAGGAAATGGGGATAAGACTCTTGTGGTACAATAGTGAATAATTGCCATAAGGGTGGAAATATAGAGGTACAAGTTTTTTGACAAAAGGAAGGGAGTGATTGATTTGCAGCTCAGGAGCAGAGGTCTCTGGGACCATCAAGTGAGAAGAACTAAGAAAGGGATCCTACCCAGAGAGGCAGTGATGCCAGGGATGGAGACAGAGATGACGACATGGACAGATGGAAAGTCTGGAGACACTGAACTCAGGGAGGGAGAGGGGCTGTGTGCCGATGACCGATGGGAGTGGGTGGGGAGGGCAGGCCTGTGGGCTGTACCCCACTGGTTATTTGATGATGCATGGAAGGGACTGTAATCATTGCAATGAAATAAAATACAACAGGATGAATGTAAAACTGATATACTTCCATGTAAACCCACAATAAAGACATAATAATAATGAAAAACTTCATGCATAAAAGTGCTCATTGAGCAATAGTTATGGTTTCTCTGTGAGTATAACAGCTTTGATGAGTTCCGTAAGCCCTCCTAGTGAATTACTGAACTTTAGGGTGTTATTCAGGACTTTCCAAGCTTGCACCGAAGAATTCCCTCTTTTGGGTCCTCTCCACCACCCTTGATTCCATTTCTCTGCCTCTTGTCTGTTCAATAATGCCATCTCTACCTTCAGGCTTGGTGCAATCTTGACACTGGGACAATGTACAGTGTTGTTGTTAAGTGTTGTCAAGTTGTTTCTGACTCATAGCAACCCTATATAGGGTTTTGGAGGAGCAGTTGGTGACTGAACTACTGATTCTTCAGTTGAAATCAACCTTGCAGTCCAGTGCTTTATCGTCAATGCCACACCAGGACTCCTGGTGAGCTTCATAAAGTTTGTGAAAAAATGGAATTTTTCAGTTTTCTGCTTTGTGTCTCAGCTTTATTATAAATGTTGTTGGTGTTAAGTGCTGTCAAGTCAGTTCCAACTTATAGTGCCCCAGTACAGGGTTTTCAATGAACAACTGGAAGGTCTGAGCTGCCGACCTTGTGGTTCACAGTCCAGTGCTGATCCTACAGTGTAAAATTGTAATGGTCATATTTGCCTATATTGCTCTTCCATTTTGTTAATTCAAAAATCAGGTTTTTTTAAAACTATGTAAGTTGGTGGTTTTTAAAAAAAATTTTCATTGTGAATTGAGTGAAGGTTTACAGAGCAGATCATCAGTTTTACATTCAACAAATGATATTCTTGGTTTCATTTCAATGATTAAAATTTCCATAAACCTTTTGAAGCCCACTTGTATGTGAGTATAGGGGGAAAATATGGGGAAGGATAATGACTCAGTGGTTAAGCACTTGACTGCTAACTGAAAGGTCAGTAACTTGAACCCACTAGCTACTCCATGGGATAAAGATGTGACTGTCAACTCCTATAAAGATTATAATGTTAGAAACCCTTTGGGCGGTTCTACTCTGTCTACGTTGTTGTTGTTGATATGTGCCGTGGAGTTGGTTCCGACTCATAGCAAGGGTTTTGGTTTTGGTTAATCTCATTTATCTGGTTCAGGGTTCGATTGAATGGAGGACTCATAGTTAGGCCATGTACTAGGCTTCTGAGAGCCTACTTTTCAGCACACCCTTTAGAGTGTGTGAGGGACAAAGAAAAAGAGAGAACTGCTTTCTTCACTATCTGTCTTGGAGGATGAAAAGTCAGGACAGTAGCTCAGGGTTGAATATTAGGATGTAGTTAAACACAAGGTCAATAGTTCAAACCGACCAGCTCCTCCACAAGAAAATGATGACGTTGTCTGCTCCTGCAAAGACTTACAGTCTCAGAAATCCTATCAAACATTACTATTATATTTTACAGAATCACTACAAGTCAGAATTGACTCATGGTAGTGGATATACCAGGGCCTAGAAATCTGCTTCTTATTTTAAAATATTACTCTGAACATTATCTTAGTTCCATCAGGGCTCCCAATGTCCCGAAGGATAGAGAGTAAATGCTTTAGTTAGGCAGTCAAGACTTCCTAGAGCTTTCCCCCTTTGTATCCTGGTACCATAACTCCTCTTGCTGTTCCTTCAATTCCTCATACTCACTGACTTCTTACCTTTGCCCCTCTCCTTTCTTTCACTTGGAAGATCTTGTATTGCCTCAGCCATATCCTAGCCAAACCACTTGTCCTCATCTTACCCATGAAAACCTCCTCCCTAGCTGATTGTAGTTCATAACACTCTTTACTTTTCTGGAACAATTAGAGTGAACTTACCCTCTGCACCTTCATTTTGAGACTGATTTGTATGATTTTTTGCTTGGAATATGTAATTCCAAGTAGCCCTTTGAACAGTCACAACAGGAAGAAACTTTGAAGAGAAAGGCACAATTCAAGTTGAGCACAGTGAAGAGCTCTCGGTCAGGAGTCTCAAGAGCTGGCTTGTTTTTTGGGTGTTACCATAAATAGCCAAGGATTTAGGGCAACATCTTAGCTGCGTTGGGCTATAATCTCCTCTATAAAAAGAGGAGTCTAGATCAGATACTCCAGTTTCTTCTACCTACTAATTAATTCTGGTTCTGAATTGCTGGTTTTACAGAATGAAGAATAGTTTTACAGAAAGAAAAGGACATTATTGGGATCATCTTTGACCTGTCCATTTGGAAACTACTTTTCAGAATAAGTAAGTATACTAAAAATTACATCTGCATAATTATGTGAGGAGATTTCAAAAAGTTCATATAAAAATGGAATTGAAAGTTAATGGAATTTTTCTGTGAACTTTTTGAAGCCCCCTAATACAATAGCCCATCAAGTGCAAATGATACTGAATGAGAAATCAACTCTTGCCTTCTGTTGATTAGTTATCTATGGGATTCCCAATAAATACTTGTTTTTTAGGAATTCAGTTATAAACATAGCAACCTATGATAAAAAACAGAACCAGAAATTAGACAGAATTTACACAAAGAATGGCCATATGTATATTATAAACTGTTGGTCACCTGTCATCATCTATTCAGTCATATTCTCCCAACCATACAACAGAGAGCTACACTTGTCAAGATCATTGTGAAGAAGCAGTGTATCAACCTTGTAAGTGGCAAGCACATTGCAGGTATTTCCATTTTGATGAGTTGCGGTCGTGTTTCATCCCATGCTATGCGGACCCGTGACCACAAGCCACATGTGGTTTGTTAAATTTGAATTTAAATAAATTAAGATTAAATTAAAACTTCACTTCCAAAGTTACACTAGCCATATTTCAAGTTCTTAACAGAGGCATGTGACTAATGGCTACCATATTACACAGCGCCTATATGGACCACAATTATCAGCACAGTACTGGTCTAAGACAAAGATATTCTGATAAGAATAAATGCTGAATTAATGAATCAACAGCATTGTTCTCTCCTAACTACTTAGTAAGGAAGGCATATGGTGGTCCACACACATGGGGATACCTCATGGTTAATAACAATTTACAGTTACGTAGCAATGCACCTGCCAACTTTTGAAACATTTTCATGTATGTGACTACCGTAGGTATCTAGTTCTACTATAATAGAAAGATTCCTGGTATGGTACTATAGGGTAAGTACTGTACTGCTAACTACAAGGTGGCGATGAGTCAGAACTGAGTCTACAGCACTTAGCAACAACAGCACTATGATTCAAATACCATAAGTGAATGGCTTCAAGAAACAAAAGTTTATTTTCTCAGTTTAGAAGGCTAGAAGTCCAAATTAAGGTGCTGGCTCTGAGAGAAAGCTTTTTCTCTGTGTTGGCTCTGGAGAAATCTTGTCTCCTCATCTTGTTTCCTGGTTCCTTGGAGATCTCCATGTGGACAGGCATAAGGTTGGCCTCAATCATCCCCCATCTCTGTTTGCTGGCTTGCTTGTTTAATCTCTTTTATATCTCCAAAGAGATTGACTAAAGACATATCCTATACTAATCCTGTTTTATTAACATAACAAAGGCAGTCAGTTCCCAAGTGGGATTATAATGACAGGCTTCAGGATTCACTACACATGTTTTGAGGGGCACAGTTTAATCCAGAACAATGACTTATGTGCATAACTTGATTCAAACTTTATCATCCATCTTTGAAGTAGCCAAAGAATCATTACTTTCATTTTACAATTCAACAAATGTAGTGACAGAAAAACTTGTCCTGTGATCACAGGTCTCCAAAACTTTCTGAAGATATACTACTTAAGCTATAAAATGAGGACCATAACTAGACTCACACTTGGAAGTCATTTCCTTAGGAAGAATGAAAAAACAAAGAGAGTAGATGAGACCACAGAAGGAGAGAGATGAGATGCCCTCACAGAACATATATAGATAGGGTTGTGATACATTTCAGCTGAGGTTAGGAGTCAAGATCTGTAAACTGAGAGAAAATCAAGTTGGAATGGCTTTGTAGGGACTGGGGTACTGAGGGTACATTTTAGACCAGAGAAGACTTGAGGTATTTGGAGAAGCACATTCTATCTCCAAAAGTAATCAGTTAAGAAATATGTGAAAGCTAGGAGCAACCTAGTCAAGGATGAAAACCAGACAGACATTGTCTAAGCATGAGAACCTAGGTAGATATTTCTCCAGGTTGCCAGGGACTGCCTGGGTACAGTTAGATCCTGCAGAGCTAGGCAGCACAAAAATGCAAAACAGCATGGTTTCCCCAAAGACCAGGAGAGGGGAGATAGCTTACCCTGGATGCAGACAAATGTTTTATAGTAATACACTTCAGAAAAGACCAAAGTCAGTGGGAGATAAACTTTGCTATTCCTTTGAGTAGTGGTAACAGTTAATGGCTAAAAATAGTTGTTGTTGTTAAGTAATGTGGAGTCGGTTCCGACTTATAGTGGCTCTGCACAGGATTTCCAAGGCTGTAAATCTTTATGGGAGCAGAAAGCCTCATCTTTCTCCCACGGAACAGCTGGTAGTTTCGAAATGTTGACTGTGAGATTAGCAGCCGGACTTTTAACCTCCACGCTACTAGCAGCATGTATTCAGCTATTACTTTGTATGAGCTACTTGCTGAGGGTAAGTAAAAAAGTATTTCTACTAGGGTTCCAGATAAAATATGTACAGATTTATTCCTAACAACACATGTTTAAACAAGTCTGTGAGATCAGTAGATGACTACAGACAGTTTCTCTCAGTGATACACTTGCCTTAGTCTCGTTACGGTGCCTTTCAAAAAAAAAAGGCTCAATCAAAATGTGGCTTCTGAAGGGATCGCTGCTGGGTGAGTTCAATTCAGGCATTGAGGTCAGCTCAGAAGGTTATGGTGACTGTTTTTTAGGATTCCCAAGGGGTAATCTTGATAGATTTCTTCAAAGGATATGGTTTGATCATGGGGACTTATAGGAAGAACTTTAAGAAAATGGGAAATGGCACTGATGAGAAAAAGACAGGCAAGTTTCACCGAGAAAATTTTCCCCTGTCACAAAGTTCCTGCTTAATATTCTAGGTTAGCTAGGGCTGTCTCTGATATGAAAATTTTGTTAGGAGACTTTACCCCATCTATCTTACAGCCCTGATCTTGCTTCTTTAGACTTCTTTTGTTCCCCAAACTCACAGAACATTTAGAAGGCACACAATTCGAGTCCCTCAAGGATACTAAAACTGCCATTTTAACTTGGTGTAAGTTAAAGAACAGAGAATTCTTTGGAGGAAGGTTACAAAGATGGAAACACCGCCTTCAGAAGTGTGTACACCTAGATGGAGGAGATGTCAAGAAAAAATAGCTTCACCAGAGATGGAGGCAGACATGAAGACATGGAGAGATAGAGCAGCTGAGGACTCCAGACTCATGGAAAGAGAAAGACTGCTGGCGGCCAGGAGGCAGGCTTGCAAAATGTGCCCTTTGGTTGTTTAAATGAGTATTTTGATGTACATCCCACTGCCCTATAATAACAACAACAATGTAGGGAATAGAAGCAAATACTGTTGAGTGATGATGCACAGAAGTGATTGTAATCATTGTAATGAAACAGTGAGCGTAAAACTGATGTTCTCCCATGTAAACTGTCACTGAATTTGCAATAAAAACTTTTAAAAAAAGTAAATGGGAGTGGTAAATGGGAGAGCACTCCTGTCCACACTTTTAAAAAACCAACAGCTTCACATTTTTAAAAAAGCTTCACAATTTGATATTATTGTTTAATAAAGGTTTCTATAATTTTATGTTGTTGTTGTTAAGTGCCATCAAGTCGGTTCCACCTCACAGTAACTCTGATAGGCTTTTCAAGGACCATCAGCCTTGTGGTTAGCAGTCCAGTGCTTTTCCTAAAGTTCCACACACAATACTTTCTTATTTACCCTCATACATGAATTTCATAACAACTTCATAAGTTAAATACTATTCTTATCCCCATCTGAGTTTCCTGAGGATTTCATAACAAGATACTACAAATTGGTAGCTTTAACACTTTTTTGACATACAGTGCCTAACTACATTTCTGGAATTTAATGGAAAGTTGCTATCCCACTTTTAGTACATGCAACCATCTGGTGGAGGCTTATGTTGTTGTTAACTGCCATCGAGTTGGTTCTGACTCATAGCGACGACCCCTGTATAAGGTTTCCAGGGAGTGTCTAGTGAGCTTGAACTGACCTTGTAATTCAAACCAGCCTTGAAGTACAGCATATTAACTCATAGTGCCACACCTAAATCTGAATAAACAGGCCTCACTCATCCCACCAACCCCAGCTTTAGAGACGCTCAGTACATGTGTATCCACTAATTATATCAAGATCCTATTACCTTGAAAAACATTTTTTCCTTTCAATCAAAATGCGTTCCATTACTGAAAATGCAAGGTTTCAAAAATTCAAAGCAGAAAATTATTTGGTCTTGAAAGGATTAAAGAGCAGAAATTTATATCCTCATAGTTTTAGAGAGTAGGCATTCTAATTAGTGTGTCAGTTATGTTACTTCCTTCTTTGAGCCTTCTCTAGTTTTGGTGGCTGTTGGCAATCCTTGACATACCTATGCCACTTAAGAATGCATCTGCCTCCATCATCACCTGGCTCTATTATCCCCCTCTCTCTTTTCAAATACAACTCAGAAGGGATTGGAATTAGGACCGCCCCCCAAATATGATCTCATTTCATTTAACTGATAACATCTGCAAAAAAAAAAAAAAACACCTAAGTCCCTAAACAAGGTCTTATTCACCAGTGCAGGTGTTAGGAACTCATCATATTTTGGGGGACCCAATTCAATCCACAGGAGTTCTGGTATGGCACTGTGGGTTAATGCACCAGACTGCAAGGTTGGTTTGAAGTGCAAGGCTGGTGGTTCAAGCTCACTAGCCACTCCTTGAAAACCCTATACAGGGTCACTATGAGTCAGAACCAACTAGATGGCACTTAACAACAATAATTCAAACCATAACATTCCCAATTATAGATAAGAAACCAGTGGCATGCTGAAGCCAGTTCTTACCAGTTTGTTGAATTTTTGTTAGTCAGTTCACATCATGTTGTTAGCTTGAAATCAGTCATTGTGGATAAAGTTACATCGTGAAAACTGGTAAATTCAGGCCTTTATCTCCAGAGAGCCAGTTTGGTAAACATTTACCAACAAATCACCAAACTAGGTTCAAAGAGATTTAGTAACTTTCAGAAGTAACACAAATGGGAGCAAGTGGTGGCACCCAGGTTGTGTCAAGGCTGCAACTCCCACAATCTTAACCACTCTGACTACAATTGGGACTTTTTTATGTTGGGGATAAGATTGTTCGCCTTTCTCAATCACCAAAGTAAAGCCATCTTGCTCACCATGGACTGTGGGGTTAAGGAGGAAGGACTTTGAAAAGCTTTTCTTAAAGGCCAGGAAGTCAAGCATTTCACATCTCTAATAACTCAAGATGGTTCTAAAGGCAAAAAAGAGTCATGATTTTAACACTCTGGCAATTGATGCTGATATACAAATTATATGTATATATACACACACATATATATATACAAATCACATATATCTATACAAATTACATATATATACTAATTACATATACAAATTACATATATCTATACAAATTACATATATATATATATATATACAAATTACATATATCTGTACAAGTTACAAGGAGCTCTGGTAGCGTAGTGGTTAAAAGTTGGGCTGCCAACCGCAAGGTCAGCTGTTCGAAACTACCAGCGGTTCTGTGGGAGAAAGATGAGGCTTTCTGCTCCCGTAAAGATTTACAGCCTCGGAAATCCTGCACAGAAACCGACTCCATGGTACTTAACAACACTTAATTACACACTATATATATACCAAGTCCTGGTGTGGCACTGTAGGGAAAGCACTGGACTGTAACCACAAAACTGACTGTTCAAATCCACCAGCCAATCAATCTTTGGACCCTATTCAGGGTGACTATGAGTTGGACCTGATTCACAAGCACTTAGTAACAATAACAACAACTTATATATATACATATTTTAAATTTCTCCTCAGTGAATTTTATAAAGGAGAATAGTCAAGACCTCATTCAAAGGATGGGAATAACTGTTATCAAGCAAATTACGGACGACCTATTTGTACTGAACGTTCTGAATTATGAAGAAGTAAGTATCATCTGCTGTGAGAAGGTTGAGCAGGATGCCGCAAGAGGAATCATCCACATGATTTTGAAGAAAGGTTCAGAGGCCTGTAACCTCTTTCTTAAATCTCTTGAAAAGTGGAATTATCCTCTATTTCAGGACTTAAATGGACAAAGTAAGTATTAATTTGCTTTTATCTGTTTCTATACAAAGAATAAGCTATAAAGGAGGTCCCTAATCCCCTCGACAGAGCTTCTGTTCTCTTCCCTCTCGAAGCCGCGTAGCTGAGGGCTGTGGTGGTGGCACCAGATAAATAACTCCTGCTAGAGAATGATTTAATATTCTTTCACTTCAAAATAAAACTGGACCATAAATGCTTTTATTGAGGCAAATGTCTTTGTAGTGCCCAGCATTCCTCAGTCTGACCAGGATTTTGTTTGGGTGAATTGTCCAGTTGATACCTACTCCATGACTCCATACATCATGGAAAATAGAGCCTGACAAATTCAGAGAATAATCCTGCTTTTTATAAAATATTAACTTAGCTTCCATTTTTTAATTAGTAAATTATGTCAAGACAAATGTGAATCAAAGATAAGGTTAGATCTACTAAAAGTTACCCTTAACCATCATTGTAAGCTTTTATTCTGCTAAACCCAAATTCATGACCCTAACATCCCCTTTTAAAGTTGTTGATAGAAAGGAGGAACCAGAAGGCCAAAGGGAAAGGAGAGGAGAGGTGACAGGGAAAACCTGGAAGAGATTTTTGGAACCCTTTGTGCCAGCTCAGAACTAGGGAAGAGATTAAAGGCACCAATGGAAGATTTCTAAGCATCACTCTGCTTCCTTCTGCAGAACTCTGGTTTCTGGGAAAACAGGTTTGAGTCCTCTTTAACATCATTTCTTCCTTAACAGGTCTTTTTCACCAGATGTCAGAAGATGACTTAGACAATTTGGCACAGGATTTAAAGGACTTATACCACACTCCATCTTTTCTGAACTTCTATCCCCTCGGTGAGGATATTGACATCATTTTTAACTTGAAAAGCACCTTCACAGAACCTGTCCTGTGGAGGAAGGACCAACACCATAATCGCACGGAGCAGCTAACCCTGAGTGGTCTTCTGGAAGTTCTTCAGAGTCCCTGCCTCATCGAAGGGGAATCAGGCAAAGGAAAGTCCACTCTGCTCCAGCGAATCGCCATGCTCTGGGCCTCCGGAAAGTGCAGAGCTTTGTCCAAGTTCAAATTTGTCTTCTTTCTCCGCCTGAGCAGGGCCCAGGGTGGACTCTTCGAAAGCCTGTGTGATCAGTTGCTGGATATACCTGACACAATGCAGAAGCGGGCTTTCCTGGCCACACTGCTGAAGCTACGGCAGAAAGTTCTGTTCCTCCTTGATGGCTATAACGAATTCAAACCCCAGAACTGCTCAGAAATTGAAGCTCTGATTAAGGAAAACCACCGCTTCAAGAATATGGTCATCGTTACCACCACTACCGAGTGCCTGAGGCACATCAGGCAGTTCGGTGCCCTGACTGTAGAGGTGGGCGACATGACCGAGGACAGTGCCCAGACTCTCATCCGGGAAGTGCTGATAAAGGAGCTTGCTGAAGGCTTGTTGATGCAGATTGAGAAATCCAGAAGCTTGAGGAATCTGATGAAGACTCCACTCTTTGTGGTTATCACTTGTGCAATCCAGATGGGGGAGAGTGAGTTCCACGCTAGCACACAAACCACACTGTTCCGTACTTTCTATGATCTGCTGGTTCATAAAAATAAGCATAAACATAAAGGTGTAGCGGCCGGTGACTTCACTCGGAGCCTCGATCACTGTGGAGACCTAGCTCTGGAAGGTGTGTTCTGCCACAGGTTTGATTTCGAACCTGAGGATGTGTCCAGCGTCAATGAGGATGTCCTACTGACAACTGGCCTCCTCTGTAAATACACAGCTCAAAGGTTTAAGCCAAAGTATATATTCTTTCACAAATCATTCCAGGAGTACACAGCAGGGAGAAGATTCAGCAGTTTGTTGACATCTCATGAGCCAGAGGAGGTAACCAAAGGGAATGGTTATTTGCAGAAAATGGCTTCCATTTCAGACATTACTTCCACGTACAGTAACCTACTCCTGTACACATGTGGGTCATCTGCCGAAGCCACCCGGATCATTGTGAAACATCTTGCAACAGTGTACAAACATGGCAGCCTCCATGGGCTTTCCATTGCCAAGAGGCCTCTTTGGAGGCAGGAATCTATACAAAACGTGAAAAGCACCACTGAACAAGAAATTCTGAAAACCATAAACATAAATTCCTTTGCAGAGTGTGGCATCCATTTATTCCATGAGAGTATATCTAAGTCAACTCTGAGTCAAGAATTTGAAGATTTCTTTCGTGGTAAAAGCCTATATATTAACTCAGAGAACATTCCTGATTACTTATTTGACTTTTTTGAACACTTGCCTAATTGTGCAAGTGCCCTGGACTTCATTAAATTGGACTTTTATGGAAGAGCCTCAGTTTCATGTGACAAGACTGCAGAAGACCCCAGCAGGACCCACATAGGAGAGACCTCAGAAACCTACATTTCCAGCAGGGCTGTGTCTTTGTTCTTCAACTGGAAGAAGGAATTTAAGACTCTGGATGTCACGCTCCGAGATTTCAACAAGTTGAATAAACAAGATATCAAATATCTGGGGAAGATTTTCAGCTCAGCCACAAGCCTCAGATTGTACATTAAAAGATGTGTCGGAATAGCTGGAAGTCTCAGTCCCATTCTCAGCTCCTGCAAGAACATTCATTCTCTCATGATTGATGCCAGTCCGCTCACCATAGAAGATGAACGACACATCACATCCGTGACAAACCTGAAAACCTTGAGCATTCATGACCTACAGACTCAACGGCTGGCAGGTATTTTAAACATCAGTAGTTTAAACCATAATGATGCCTGGCTAGCTACTGTGGGAAAATTAGATATCATATAGTACTGTTTTAAATTTCCTAATAGTTTCTAGCAAGGTCCCTGGGTGGCACAAATAGTTAAGCACTCTACTACTAGCCAAAAGGTTGGCAGTTTGAAGACAAGCCTGGCAACTTGCTTCTGAAAGGTCACATCCTGAAAACTTTATAAAGTAGTTCTGTACTACACAGAGAAAGGTTTCTATGAGTTGGAATTGACTCTAAAAGGCAACTAATAACTATAGTTTCTAGGAGGTACCAGGACTTGGAAGGGAGGTGGGAAGGTGGGGGTGGGAGGGAAGGAGAGGTCCAGGCTACCTGATTTCAAAACCACCAGCTGCTCCTTGGAAACCCTATACACGGTCTCTCTGAGTTGGAGACGACTCGATGGCACTTAGCAATAACAACAAGGAAAATTCTCAGGGGTAGCACTATAGTCTAATTGAAAAGCAGTAAAGTGGGAGCTCTGGTTGCATAATGGTCACAAGTATGGCTGCTAACCTCAAGGTCAGTAGTTCGAAACTACCAGCCGTTCCATGGGAGAAAGATGAGGCTTTCCACTCCAGTAAAGATTTATAGCCTGGAAAACCCTACACAGGGTTGCTATAAGTTGAAACTGAAAATTCCCAGCCCTAGCACTATAGTGAAAAGCAGTAAAGTAGGTTAAGCTTGTCTCTAGCAAATCATCTTCTTTTTTGGCATCTCTGTTTCTACTCAACATTCATTGCTTTCTTGCCAAGTGACACTCCACTGAATGAATAATTAAAACAAATAAGGATCAGCACAAAGCTGGTTCCTCTGAGGCCGAGGTTAAAGATGTTTCAAATATCCAATTTTCCAAAATGCTGTACCATTCCATCATGTCTAACATCAACTATTGCTTCCTCCCCTCAGTACTCTGCCTCTCCTGTCTTTGAGTTCTAGAATCCACTACATAACATAGAACTCAAAAACTAACAAGGACATGGCTCACACAGTTGTGGAGGCTGGTAAATCCCAATTCTCTGGGTGAGGCATCAGTGTGGAGGTCTCTTCTGATTCACATGTGCAATCCCTTGGTGGACCACAAGCACCTTATTTGCATAGTTTCACCCAATCATTGTGTGTGAGTCACAAAGATTGTAACTAGAAGGGTCATAGGTAAGTAAATCACTGCACTATACCCATCTCCAAGTCTTAGAGGAAATCCATCTTGCAGACCTGCAGAAACTACTGGCCCATCTGTGAAGTTGTAGAACATACCCAGCTCTACCCTCCAACTATCTGCATTCTGAAAGATTTCAATAACAAACTTTGCCTAAGATGAAGACATTTCAGACTCAGACTTGTAGGGGCAATCTTTCTGGGTAAATGAAAGTCTTCCCCAAATTCCAAATAACACTGAAAGCAAGTATCTTCCCCACCTCTGTGGATCAGACTTCATGCCTTCTCAGGGCCAGGGCTGCTGTATGCAGGGAAGCTTTGGGTGCAGGAGCCTTATTTTACTTAACTAGCAATCTGGTGTTAGTCAGAATTCACAAGTGATTTACCAGCCTGATCTGCCTTACTTATCTGCTCACAGAGAAGTTTTTTTCTGTGATTTTAGGTATTCTAAGAATCTAGAAATTTTGTACAGATCATTTCAACCTTCTACTCAATGTAGCAATTCCTTCTATAAGACTGTGGAAAGTTACCCAGACTTTATTACAGTGTGAACAATTAACATGCTCAGCTCCTAATCAAAAGGTTGGTCCACATTTGAATCCACTTAGAGGCACCTCAGAGAAAGGCCTGGAGCGATCCACTTCTGAGAAATCAGCCATTGAGAACTCTATGGAGCACAGGTCTACTCTGATATACCTGCGGTCAACATGAGTTGGAGTTGGTTCTATGACAGATGTTTTTTTTTCTGTTCCAGCCAGCTCACAATTTCTTCTTGATGGCTTTTTCTTTGTGCTGATATTGCAAACTGGAGGTTGCATTTAACCTACATAGTGTTAATTTTTAAAAAATTGGTTGCCAATGTTTTGTTCTTAATTTTTTAATTCAGTTATTTTTGTGTGTGTGATGTATCCACGTGAGCCAAATTATGAAAGGATTTATGATGAAAAATCACCTTTCTGCTCACATTCCATAGCCATGACTTCCCTCCAAGTTGCCAACTTTTTGTAACTGGGAGATAGCATGTGAAAATACAGGTTTCTTATTTCTCCTAAAAATTGCTAGATTTGACAACAATATGCCCACACTCTCACTTTGTAAAAAGCAGCTAGAATTGTATGATTGACTCCACTGTTCTTCAGACAAGACCCATCATTTCTAGTTGTGCATATACCTCCACCAGTCTTATTTCTCAAAATAGCATTATTCCCTGGCTATGTTGGACATCTGAGTTTCTAACTAGTCCATATTCTTTCTTGTAACAAAAAGCTGACACCAAAAAACCCACTGCCATAAATCGATTCTGACTAATAATAATGCTATAAAGGGTTTTCAAGGCTGTAAATCTTTATAGGAGTGAAGATTTCTCCTATGGAGTGGCTGATGGGTTTGAACTGCTGACCTAATGGTTAGCAGCTCAACACTTAACCCACTTCGCCACCAGGGCTCCTTAGCTGAAAGCTAGTTCCTTATGTATATTCAATGATTGCTTTTTATTTTGCCTTCTGAGTCCCGTCTGAGTATGTAGTCCTCCTTAACCATCCTCAGTTCCTGTATCTATTTCTCTGGGCTTTACTTATGCTGTACCATCTTCATCCAAGCTGGCGACTTAAAAAAGATAGGTAGTAGTAACCATAGTAATAATAAACAGCATAATCGAACACAGATACCAGGTATTTTTAATGCACTACAGAGCTCTGGTAGCGTAGTGGCTACGAATCAGGCTGTGAACCTTAAGGTCAGCAGTTCGAAACTATGAGCTGCTGCTCCATGGGAAAAAGATGAGGCTTTCTGTTCCCATAAAGAATTACAACCTTGGAAACCCTGTACAGGGTCGCTATGGGTCGGAACCAACTCGACGGCACTTAACAACAACAACCAATGTATTAGCTCATTTAGACAATTTAACAATCTTAAAAGGTTTGGTACTCTTATTTTTTTTATTAGGCTTGGTTGTTGTCAGGGGCCCTCAAGTTGATTCCAACTCACAGCGACCCTATGCACAACAGAACAAAGTACTGCTTGGTTCTATGCCACCTGCACAATATTGTTATGTTTGAACCCATTGCTGTTGCCACTGTGCCAATCTATCACGTTGGGGTCTTCCACTGTCTTTCACTAACCCTCCACTTTACCAAGCATGATGTCCTTCTCCAGGGACTAGTCCTTCCTGATTATATATGTCATAAATATGAGAGATAAAGTCTCACTATCTTGGCATCCAAGGAGCATTCTGACTGTACTTCTTCCAACACAGATTTATTTGTTCTTCTGGAAGACCATGGTACTTTTAATATTCTTCTCTAACACTGTAATTCATATGTATCAATTCTTTTACAGTCTTCCTTATTCATTCTCCAACTTTCACATGCATATGAAGCTATTGAAAATACCATGACTTGGATCAGACGCACCTTAGTCCTCACACTGACATCTTTTCTCTTGAGCACTTTAAAGAGGTCTTGTACATCAGATTTGCCTAATGCAATACTTGTTTGATTTCTTGACTACTGCTTCCATAAATTTTGTAGTGGACATAAGCAAAATGAACTATTTGACTTGTGTATTTTCTCCATTTATCATGATTTATTTATTGGGAAGTCGTGAGTATTTTTGTCTTCTTTACATTGAGATGCAACCCATACTGAAGACTGTGGTCTTTGCTCTCTCTTCTTCATCAAGTATTTTAAGTACTCTTCACTTCCAGCAAGCAAGGTTGTATTATCTGCATCCAATCCTGTTGCCATATTCTTCTGCATATAATCCAGTTTCTCAAATTATTTTCCCAGCATAAAGATTGCATAAGTAGCATGAAAGAATACAACCCTGAAGCACACTTTTCCTGATTTTAAATTATTCAGTATCCCCTTGTTCTGTTAAAACTACTACCTCTTGGTCTATGTACAGGTTCTTCATGAGCACAATTAAGTATTCTGGAATACCCATTCTTCACAATGTTATCCATAGCTTGTCATAATCCACACAGTCAAAAGTCTTTGCATACTCAATAAAGCACAGATATGCATTTCTCTGGTATTCTCTGCTTTCAACCAAAATTCATTTGACATCAGCAATAATATCCCTCGTTCCAAGTCATTGTTTGAAACCGGCTTAAACCTCTGACAGTTCCCTTTTGATGTACTGTTGTAGATGTTTTTGAATTATCTTCAGCAAAATTTTACTTGCATGTGATATTAATGATATTGTCAAATGATTTCCACATTCTGCTAGGTCACCTCTCTTTGGAATGATGAAAATGTGGACCTCTTCCAATCAGTTGGCCAGGTAGTTTTCCAAATTTCTTGGCATAGATGACTAAGTGCTTCTAGTGCTGAAGCAGTTTGTTGAAAGATTTCAGTTTGTATTCCATCAGTTCCTGAAGCCTTGTTTTTCACCAGTGCCTTCAATGGACCTTGGAATTCTTCCTCTGTACCATTGACTCTTGATCATATGCTACCTCTTGAAATGGTTGAACACCAACCATTTCTTCTGGGTACAATGACTCTGTGTATTGCTTCCATCTTCTTTTTGTGCTTTCTGAATTATTCAATTTTGCAAATAGAGTCCTTAAATATTGCAACCCGGGGCTTGTATTTTTTTCCTCAGCTTTAGAAATGCTGAGCATGTTGCTCCCTTTAAATTTTCTAACTCCAGGTCTTTGCATATTTCATTATAATAATACTTGACCTTATCTTCCTGAACTGCTTCTGTTCATTTTGAGTTGTGTATCATCAGCAAATGAAGGTCCTGAGAGCTTTACTCCATTTGATTCATCACAGTCAACTCTTCTTTGAGGAGGCAACTCTTCCCAT